CACAAGGTGGCCAACTGCTGGCTCATGAATGAAGCTATACGCCCAGAAGGATATACCCTAGACGAAGGGAAGCTAGAGAGAGCTAGAAAGAAGCTAGCAAATGATCCAGGGTGGAAGCAATGGGTCGACAAAGCTGTCAATGAAGCTAAATCAAAGCATCATGAATCTGCAAACCACGTTAGCTTCGCCACCACCTACCAGAGTAAGCAACAGGGCAGGCCTCAGAGCAGGCCTCAGAGCAAGCCTCAGGGCAAGCCCCAGGGCAAGCACCAAGGCAAGCTACTAAGTGAAGCTATACAGATTGGCAAGCATGCACTCTCAGCTGCAAAGACTGGCGAGCTCTCTCTCCGCAATCGATGGATTCTTGACACTGGGTCCAGTTCACATGTATGCAATAACAGAGCACTGTTTATTGATTTTACGCCGGAAGTCATAGATTTGACAACTGGTGACAGTACTACGCAGGTGCTAGGGAGAGGCAAAGTTCGACTAGTCGGCAAGCATCCACAGAAAGGGAGAATGGAAATCACATTGAGTGACGCTCTCTACTCGCCTAGCTTCCATACAAATCTAGTATCGTACGCGATGCTAAAGAAGAAGGGGGGCACCTGGTGTCAACGTACAAACTGCATCCGAGATCCAAAGGATTTACCTGTAGTCAATGTGCATCTATGGGATCAATTTAACCTATGGATTTTTGACGAACCAAACGAGGCCCCACCACCACAACAAGCATATGCCACACAGAGATCCTCAGTAAAGCCGCAGGAATCAAAGGCATCGGCTGACATCTGGCATCGGCGACTTGCTCACATTGAGCCCCGCGCCGTAGCTAAGCTTGCTACTATGGTAGACGGTATAGTCCTCCAGAAAGCAGAGAAAGAAGAAGCTTCATTATGCCATACATGTCGTATTGGGAGAGCACCAAAGCAGATCTCTCGCCGGCCAGTGGGACGTACTTTTGGACCATTTGGAAGAATCCACTTTGATCTAATACAACTGCCGCCAGCATACAATCGACATCGATGGATATCTCACTTCTATATAGAAGGGCCGAGATTCCACTGGATCATGACACATGAGCTAAAGCCTGAATGCCAGATAGCGATCAACCAGTTTGTACAGCTAGCAAGGAATCAGTGGAACCTTCCGATCAAGGCATTTCACTATGACAATGAAGCCGCAGCAGGCAAAACAGCGGAGCACAGTTTGACAAGCGATGGTATCTTGATATATCATACTCCACCCGGCCACTCAGAGATGAATGGGTATGCCGAGAGATCTGGCGGGATGATCATTACCCGTATGCGTATGCTCTCTCTTGAAGGCAAGCTTCCGAAAGACCTATGGCCTGAATTCGCAAGCGCTGCAGTGTGGTTATTGAACCGTACCCCTACATACATTGCTTCTGAGAACAAGTGGTTAATACCATGGGAAGAAGTAAGAAGAGAATTTGCTCCAACAGCCCCGAAGATCAATCTAGCAAATGTTAGATTATATGGAAGTTTGGCGTACTGCCGCATTGAGAGGCAGATCCAGTCAGATAAGATGAATCCAAGAGCAGAGGTCGGCTTCCTAGTCGGATACTTGGCATCTAATATCTACAAAATCTGGTTTCCACACAGTGGGAAAGTGAGGTATATACGAGATGCAGTCATTGATGAAGCACGTAAATACTCGCCGGACTATGAGAAATCTCAGCCTATTCCACTACCATTAGTGAGAGAGCCAGAAGAGATTACGCCCGACGAAGTGGCGCAAATCATCAACCATCAGATCGCTAGCCAGGAAGCAACTAGTACGCCGGAAAGTGAGCATCAAAACCGACAAGATGAAACCGACGATGCTCTACCAGATGCTCTTCCAGATGCTCTACCAGATGCTCTTCTAGATGCTCTTCCAGATGCTCTACCAGATACTCTACCAGATACTTCACAAGATATTCAGCTAAGTGAGGTTGACTACCGAGAGATCACCCCACTTCAGGGGGTGAGCAGGCAGGCATTAATGCCTACCCCAATAAGCCTACCACCTATACTTCTGACCTCGGTCAGAAAAGAAGCCGGTGAGATCCAGGACATACAGAAGGATCAAGATCCATCACCATTAACCCCACCAAATGAAGAAACTGGCTTACAGCAAGGGGTGGAAACTGGCCCTGATCAGGGGGTGGATACGCATGATCTAGATGATCAACTGCTCAGTGAAGATCAGGCCCATGAAGAAGCCTATGAAGAAGCCAATGAAGAAGCCAATGGAGAACCTAATGAAGAACCCAATAGAGAGGTGGAAAATGAGCTAGAAAGACAGCTCCAGGCAGAACTGCTAGCACCAAGCAGAGAGATCTCCAGCAATATAGATGCCAGCAACATACTAAGTGGACGTCGAATACGCAAAGCAAAACAAGATGACGATTTTGCATATGCAACCACTATAGTACAGGGTATTGACGAAGAAGAGCCACCGGCTCTACTACATGCATTTGCAGCTGGTCTATACGCCGAGAAACCAAACGCTCGCCGCCATCGAGATGATCTCCCACCACCACCCAAGTACTGGAAGGATGTCATAAATCATCCTTTTCAGCAAGGTTTTCTCGCAGCAATGAAGAAAGAGATCCACTCTCTATCTGAAAAAGAGACATTCGAAGTCATTGAAAAGCCAAAGGATCGAGGGATACAAATCCTTCCCTTACTATGGGTTTTTGCATACAAATTCGACCAGGACGGTTACCTTTTGAAATTGAAGGCTCGAATCTGTGTTCGTGGGGATCTTGAGACGATTACCTATGAAGAAAAGAGAGCTGCTACGCTAGCAGCAAGAACAGCAAGAATGATCTTTGCACTAGTCGCTGCCTTTGACCTAGACCTCCGTCAGCGAGATGCTGTCACTGCATTTCTGAATAGCAAGCTAAGCCAAGAGAAACCGACGTATACGCAGATGCCAGAAGGGTTCCAGTCCCTAGGTAAATGCTGGAAGCTTCGTCGAGCATTGTACGGCTTACGGATCTCGCCACGTCTTTGGCAACAAGAAGCAGCTAGTGTACTCCGAAAACTAGGTCTGCAACAAGCACCAGAAGACCCTTGTGTCTTCGTCGGAGAAGGGCTAATAGTCTTCTTCTATGTGGATGATATCTTAATTGCTAGCCATGCAAATGCTAAGGCAAGAGCCATGCAATTGGAGCGAGATCTAGAAGCCCACTGGGAGCTGACAGATCATGGAGAAGCATCATGGTTTCTCAATATCCGAATCATTCGCGATAGGAAGCAGAAGAAGCTCTGGCTATGTCAAGATAGCTATATGACAAGCATTGCTACCCGCTACAATTTGACAGATCGACCACCTGTCTATACGCCACTACCAGTTGACGAATTGACGCCTTACCAAGGCGTAGCCACCCCGAAGGAGATCCTTCTCTATCAAAAGAAGGTTGGATCCGCAGGCTATGCCACCACTATCACTAGGCCAGATGCTGCAAAGGCCACCGCTCGACTAGCTCAGTTCTTGACGAATCCAGGGCCCCAGCACCACCAAGCAGCTGACCGGGTCATCAGTTACCTATATACTACCCGGAACCTAGCTATTGAATATAGTGCAGACGCAGTAAGCACTGGAATCGATTCCATACAGTTCGCAAGCGATGCTTCATACGGAGATCACCCAGATCGAAAGAGCTCTGCAGGCTACATCTGTCAAGCTTATGGTGGACCAGTTGACTGGAAAGCGAGCAAGCAACCCACCGTGACAACGTCAACCACTGAAGCAGAGCTGCTAGGCCTATCAGAGACAGGGAAGCAACTTCAATGGTGGCGTCGACTACTAAAAAGCCTCGGTTTTGAACCCTCCCACAATATGACGATCGACTGCGACAACGAGAGAACGATCAGCCTACTTACTAGTGAGGACACTGCCTTCGAAACGAAGCTTCGGCATGTCGATATTCATCATCATTGGCTTCGGCAAGAGGTTAGAGAAGGACGCATAATGGTGCGATGGGTGCCGACGGCGAGCATGGTCGCAGATGGACTCACAAAGATGCTATCTCGCCAGAAGCATGAGAGCTTCCTAAGGATGCTCAGGATGGTGGACATAGGCTATCTAATGGCCTAGTCAATTAAACCATGGAGATCAATATGCCGATCTAACAAGTCCAGCAATCCCATACTGGGATAGCTGAGGGGGTGTGTCGGAGCATGACGACCGGCATACCGGGGGATTTATTAATCCTACACATTTTTGTAATTAATGTTATGTAATCATGGCTCCATATAAATTGTACCAAGAGCCGATACAGAAATACAGAGAGTTGAATACCACTGATTGGACCCCTACATTTACAATACAGACCAATCCGACAAATAATCCTTGCCTAAGCCAGTCCTCGGACTTCGGGATCCGTAAATTTTCAGTTTTGTTTGTATATGCCTTCCGTCCAATCCATGCAAGTGTATTCCAACTCAGCCAAACCCAAGATATCCACGATCACTTTATCCAAGCTCACGCTGCATAAACCAACAGATTTAAATGTTCCTGCCCAAGTGGCGACTAGCACTTATTCATATTTGAAAAAGTTCGCCATACCTGCCTCCACTCATGCATATAGATTTACATTTGGCGTCTCCAATTTGATCAATATGAAAAGTGGTAGATATTGGGAGGCACCGTCGCAGGGTCAGTCCATACCACAATAAAAGAGTTTGCAAAAGTATTGATCAGCCCAGGATGGCCTGAAGTTCAGTTGTAGTCAGTTATAGGAAGATGAATGCGGATGGCGGTCAAATTGATGAAACTACAGATATCGCAACTCACTTCTAACGTTACGTCCATTATCAATAATCTTCAAGAATAAAGAAGTCGCATATAATTATTCTAGAAAATAGTTTTTAATCGGATCGAAACCTAGTTCGCATTGCCTTGCATTCAATACATGCGATGAAACAAATGACCATCGACCATAATGAAGTAAAGTTCATTTTCTCAGAAATTGAACGAGGAAATTATTAAAAAAGGAGCGCCAAAAGGGCGATGCCAAAAGTCCAGAAACTGCACATGGGCAGTTTCGACCCACCATTGCCAAGGACAACAGTTTCAGTTGGCTTAGATCCTGTGGGCTTGGAAATAGTGGGCTTAGGGGCAGTTGGCGTAACAAGGGGGATAGAGTGGGTTTTGCAACTAGTTGTCAACGTCGAGGACGACGCGTGCACAAAATGGCCAGTCTTAGAAGTAGGACTAGGCGTAGTAACAACCACCAGATTCACAGAGGTTGTGGAAGAACAAGTGACCGTGCTGAACCCAACAAGGGGAACAGTTGCCGTGTGTGAAGCCCAGCTGATGGTGGTACAAGGAGCCTTGGGGGTGGATGTAGGCACACCAGCAGTCACAACAACGGTACGTGTGCTGGGAGTGACCTTAGGACCAGCAGTGGTCTTAGGAATGGGGTCAGAAGAAGTGCAAGTTGTAGCAATGTCTACAATAGCAGGGTTCTCCGGAACGAAGGGGGCACAAATGCCAGCGAAGAAGGCAAGGGCGGAATCTTCCTCCTTCTTGGAGCTGCTCCAGGCCCGAATGCATCCGCTAACTTTGTCTGTGAATTCAGTAGATGGGCAGAAGCATGCGGCATCGCTGTTGGAGTTGCACTTCGGAATAGTGAGCCATGTGTTGAGACACTTGGGTACCACGTTAGGGCAGGGAGCGGTAACAACGGGCGGGCTGGGCTCAGTGGCTGTAGTAACAGAGCTCGTGATCGGGGTGTGCGAGTGTACAGCACGAGGGGAGGTTGTGCTAGGATCGGTTTCCGTGGGCTTAGACGGGCAGACAGTCGTTGACAATGGGTATGTAGAGGTAACCAAAACAGTGGAATGACCAGGGCAGTTAGTGACAGTTGGTGCACATTTAGTGACGGTGATCTCCTCGGTAGTCCAGATTGTGGAAGTAGTCATATGCCAGGAAGAGTGGCTAGTCGAGCTCGGGGGATCCGAATGCACAACATGAGGAGAGGTTGCACTAGTTTTCGTTTCCACGGGCGTATACGGGCAGACTGTGGTCGACAATGGGTATGTAGAGGTGACCAAAACAGTCGAATGACCAGGGCAGTTAGTGACAGTGGGTGGGCATTTGGTGACAGTAATCTCCTCGGTGGTCCAGATTGTGGAAGTCGTCATCCTCTGGGAAGTCTGAGAAGAGTGGCGAATTGTAGGAACTTCCAGCGTAGTAGAGGGCAGATGGAAAGGAGGAGGGGAAACACTCGAGCTCGGGGTAGGCACAGGGTGAGAGTGAGAGTGAGGGGGGTCAATGACGGGACCTGGTGGCTTAGATCCAGTAGAGCAGTCAAAGTCGATCGAATGGATCTCAATATCACAATCACCGAACTTGTTCTCTTGGGGAAGAGTGAACTCGACTGATACAGCACCGCCACACTGGTCGTTGCCGACATCAGTTCCCCTGTACGAACTGGAAGCGACATGATGACAGGAAGAACCATCCGGCATCTCGTAGATGATGAAAACATCGGTGCTCCGGGAAGTTGAAAGATGGAAGTTTCGGATTGAGAATGGAGCGTCAGTGGCGGAAATCTTGATTGTCCAGTCATCGTCACTAGAGAGTTTTCCACCAAGACAAGTGCCCTTGAGAAAGTTAGAATCGAGAGCCTTTGATATGTGCGAATGACCAACCCCGTAACTAGATCCTTGACACCCATTCTTGGGCTCGAGGCCAACAAAATGGAAGCCGTCAAAGCTCCAATTGTCACCGTTTCCCAGCTCAGACAAGTCAAAGCCTTTCTGCTGAACATCCGAGCACTGATTGTCGGTATTGTCTGGGCTGGTGTAGCAGACATCCGTACCCCACCACTAAGATATCCTCAATGTCAGACCTGTGCCCCAAGTTGTAGAAATGGAAGTACTCACAAGGCCCGCCGGATGAGCCAGTGCAGCTCCAAAAAGCGAAAGAAGAGCAATCCCCTTCATCATGGGCAAGACCGTATTAATTAAGGCCAGTAATCAAATAAGACAATAAAATGAGTGAATGACGCTGATGTTGAGCGTGGGTTTAAAAAACAACGAAAATGAGAGACGATATTTGGCGAAGGTTGTCGACTGGATGTTGGATGGCGAGCATCAAAGAGAGCTCCGACAAGGTCCTTTTTAACCTCATCCCATAAATCCCTAGTCCAGTCTTACTATCAACAAAGCAGAAAGTAAAAAAGGAATGTCAGCCACCTTGATACAGGAATTTGCGATAAATCCAATGGTGAGGGTCCAAACTCATGGTGAAGCAGGTGGTTTACTGAAATCAGGGAGTTCACATCGCTATAGTTCAAGGAACCAATGCAGGGGGAACATTCCGGTGCTAGAAACAAGGAAAGACCAATTAGAACAGTCGGTAACTGTGCCTGAGCTATAGGGCTCGCTCAAATTCACCGAAAAGTTTAAAGGGTTGGAAAGTCAAGCAAGGAGCTACACCTTAGCAGTTGAGAGAGAATTATTCAGGTTAGAACAATTCGAAGTATCCTACAGTTTATTCGTTTATTCCTCAAGAGTCTTTTCTATCTATGAAATGAGCTAGATGTCACCATGCAATATTTGTACTTAGCATATCCATAGTAGGTCTGACAATCGGTAATTCTGGTTTCAGTTGGAAAATTTCAACTTTTTCCTCAGAGTTCCTATATATCAAGGTTTTCCTGGATTCCAATTGTTAGTTCAACAGTAGTATCAAGGTCTTTATCCCCAATGTCTTGGAAGTCACGAGGCATCCACAGTGGAAGAGATCTAGAACCCAGACGAGCCAACCATACACATTCCCGACGGCACATTCCACCAAGAAGTTGCCTAATAAGTAGCCATCTCTCACTTCCCTTGTTAATTCTACTATATCAAATAGACTGAGGTCGAGGTTTCACACAGAAGCTCATTGTTGACTCTGATTTTCCCAAGGGAAGCTCCATAGGGAACTCACAGGGGGGATGGGTAAAGAAAATAGCGTATCACAGAGAGCAAGATATATTCACAATCGTTATAACATGCTCCGGAGACATTTGGCTGAATACATAACCAGAATCCGATCTTGCAGTTTGTACTGCATCTCGAAAACAAATCAGAGATCCAGAAATCAGTCGCTGCGCTCAACCTGTGTAGATTGCGCAACTGGATGATGATGGCAAATAGGCCAACAACGTGAATGATCAGGATATATCCTCCCACAAAGGGAATACTTTCGGCTAGGAAGGAAAAGTGAGATAGGTGGTCCGTATAGAGCACACTTGTAGTCTGATGTTGGTGACACAAAGTATACCCTATGGGCCCGCGCTAATCTCATTTAGGGTTAGCGTATATACTGAGCCATTTGGGTAGGCGGTGGCGTTGAATTGCCACGCACGGGCCCTCTGTTTCGACAGGGTAGATCGCATCTGATCTCTTTCTCTTCGGTCAATTCGTTAGCTGCCTGCAACAATCATTGCGTTTATTGCCCATCATGTCTGCCTCACCAGAAGCATCGGCATCTGTTCTACAAGAGCGCGCCAGTGGCTCACCTAGCCCTGCTCCGTCGGGCCTTGAGACGGAAGCCAAGCATGACACCGACACGCAGAAAGACGAGGAGGAAAAGAACGAAGAAACACAACCCACTGAAGAACCGGAAACGGATGCGTCCAAGTCGCAACCCGATGAGCATGAGCACGATGAATTGACATCTGCACCACCCCTCCCCGCTGAAGTCCCACCACCACTTCCCACCGAGGCTCCGCCCGCACAGGTCGAGGACGACGGATGGGAACCTGTATGGGACGCCAACGCAGGGGCATATTACTTTTACAACCGCTTCACTGGAGTTTCTCAGTGGGAAAACCCCCGCGTGCCAGAGGCCGCAGCAGTCGCAGCAATCCCAGCAGCACCCGGCACAGAAGACAGCCACCCAAGCGCAGCCCCGAAAAAAGAACCAGTCCTCGGTGGTTACAATCCCGCAATACACGGCGACTATGACCCCACCGCACCATATGCACAATACCACGAAGAGCCAGCACAGCCCGCGAACGCAGCCGGGTTCGATCCCTCTGCAGCATATGCAGCTACCGGCACATTCAACCGCTTCACTGGACGATGGCAAGCTGCAACGATCAATCCGGATAATCACAATGACGAGAACAAGTCTCGACGACAGATGAACGCTTTCTTCGACGTAGATGCCGCGGCAAATAGCCATGACGGCCGGAGTTTGCGCGCAGAGCGCAGCGCTAAGAAATTGACGAAACAAGAGTTGAAACAGTTCAAGGAGAAACGTCGTGAGAAGAAGGAGGAGAAGAGGCGGGCTTGGCTCAGGGATTAGGGGCCGTGTGGCTAGGTGTTTGTTCGAGTTCTGGGAGGAAGGGTTGTTTGGTGTATTCTCTCGTTGCCACTGGTCGCATTGCCATTTCGGAGCTTTTTGATACCATCCCACCGGACGTGGGACTCGGCGTTTGAGCTTATTTGATTTGTTTTTCTCTCGGCGTTCTGTCTTGCATGTGGGTAGAGGCAGACGGAATTCCTGTCGTCTCTATCCACGATTGAACAAAGTTAGTATTTGTACAATGTACCATGTATGAACACAAATATCGTCTCGACATGGGACTCTTCCAGTAATTTGAATTCATATGATGCGTGCTTAGTTACTGGCATCCACGTTCATCCGACTTCTATTGTACCGACTGATACCGATTGATAGCCCACTATCAGTCACATGACCCGCGATATCAAATTATTTTTTGCGGCGATCGCTTCATTTGTTGCCGGGATACTCCACGCTAGAAAGCAAAGAACTGAAAGCAAAGGTAAGATTGAATTTACTCCCTGTTAATTGCCTCTAAAAATTGTGGTGAAAAAAACACCTCGAACTGCGATTTTTCATTTTGTGGCTGGAACTTGTCCTTGACATTGAAGTCCTTATCAGCCGGATATATCGCGGGGGCCATGCTGTCGTACTATGCAAAATTCCCATTTCTCCAATGTCCTTTATGATTTTATATACATCACACTCTTTGTTGCCCTGTCACTTATCATCTCTCAATCGTGAACATCGACCTTTTACTGACACCCCACTCCAGCTACATCAAATAAAGTGGGATATCAAAAACAACCCCACTAAGAAAAAAGAAGAAAAATAACACCAAAAACCTGGTTCATCACACATCATGTCTACTTCCACCACATCACAGGCAAAGCCTTCAGTGCCAATCGCACTCTCCGCCGATGCAGTCGACGATCTGATCTATGACGCCCGAGCAGGCGACCTCGAGGCCCTAAATGAGGACATCGCCAACCTCGCCGGCCAACACGGCTGCAACGAGTCCCAGATCGTGGCATCTGCCATCGACATGGCTGATGAGAGCGAGGGTGGCTCTGGATCCTGCGTTCTGCACTTCCCCGCTGCGAATGGAAACGCCGGTATGTTAATTGAATGACTTCATTTGACTTGGATGCGTTTTTACATGTCATGCATGTCTCAAATCTTGTGTTTTGTTTTACCCGCCTATTTCTTGTATTTACTAACTCCACCCAGAAATTCTCAAGACCCTGCTCCAAAAGCTGTCGTCTGCAGACGCTGCCCAGCGTACTGCATTTGTTAACCACCGCAACAACTCTGGTAACACACCTCTGCACTGGGCTGCGCTTAACGCGCACTTGGAATGTGTCAAGGCGCTTGTCGAAGCTGGTGCAGACCTTGATGTTAAGAACGATGCTGGTCACGACGCTGTGTTCCTCGCTGAGCGGACGGCGTGGGCTGCCGTTGAAGGTGATGAGGACGTTGAGGGTGCCGATGCTCAGACTCAGGAGATTGAGATGACTATTGGTGAGAATGAGGGCGAGGAGAGGCCTGCTGAGAATGCTGGTGAGATGTCTGCGGGCAGACAGGTTGTTGAGTGGCTCCTGGCTTCGGATGTTGGTGCCAGTCTGGAGAAGGGGGCTACTGAGGGTGAGGCTAGTGGATCTGCTTGATTTTTTTTATTATCAATGAGGTCGGAAATGATTGAAGAAAAGTTTAAGATTTCACGCATAGAATTGGAGATATGGGTACTTTCTATTCTCGCATATGTTATTCGTTAGTGTCTATATTAATGCATTTTGGTTTTTTTCTTTTCATCATAACTTTACATTCAAAGACGCTTCAGGGCTTTTGGGATGTTGCTCTAGTATACATAACGCTCATATGCTTTCATCTACACATCAATTCAATCACTGCGGACCTTGCCCGCTACCGCTCCGGTAGAAGGCGACACCTCCACAGGTGGTGGAGGAGAGGGATCAATCTCCCGAACTTTCGCATCGAAGCCGACCTTAAACCGCCGGTCCCGCCAAACGACCGTCACACCGCCGTACACTGCCATGATCCAGATGGGCAGGGCTAGCAGTTCACGGCCGAGCCAGGCACCAAACCATTGCATGAACGGGCGGCGAGTAGTTTGGGATGATCGGTGGCGTTGAGGCCGAGCAAATGCTGGGGTATCCTCATCCAACTCGATGCATCTCGCGGAATGCAGCTTGATATACAGTGTCCAATCAACCAGGATCCAGGAGACCATGCCAAGTGCGAATACAACAAAAAATGCACTCCACGTCCCAAGATGGGCAGCATATTGCACGCCCTTCCGCTCAAGATACGGCGCCAAGGCAGTAGTAATGCCCCAGGCGCCATAGATTGTGCATAAAAAGGACTCGGTGCCTGGTTCGACAAGCGTAGCGAGTAGAACTGTAAATTTACGCACCCGCAGCCACCGGACACGACGAGCGATATATGCCGGCACACTCATGTTGGCAACAGGCTGAATAGCCATGTCACCAAAGACCATGGCATGCTTGCCCCAACGCTCGCGGAGCTCTTTCTCTTCCCGCACCTGCTTCTTCCACAGCAGATCACCAATAAGATGGTCCTCGCAGATGTTGTCGGAGAAGAAATCGATGCCGGGATGACGAGCCTCGGGACCCGAGACCGCCGGACGGGTGAGATAGTCGAGATGGGAGCGGCGGAACATGTTGGATTTTCCCACGATGCATGGCGCAACAAGAACCGTGTTGATCGCAGTGTACATTTTCGCGTGCGCGGAGGATAGGAACAGCTCTTCCAAGCGACCGCCTCCAGTGGCTATCATGGCTGCAGGCCCATCCTCCGGACGGACGGAGGGCATCGCTGCGGCCGCTGCATCGGCATCCGTGGACTGTGGGTTGGCGTCCACGAGCGCCTGTCGCTCTTCACGCAGGTTGCTCTCTCCGGTCACGTCCACGGCCACGGGTAGATGGTGCACGAACTTGTATTTTTTGTTCGATGCGGGTCCCGTCCCGCACAGTCTGTCCACCATCCGAGCACAGACTCCCTTCCCGACCCAGACATTGCAGTCAATGATCCAGACGATATCTCCTTTCGCTTCTCGGTATGCGCGGCTCATATTCCGGATCTTGGGATTCGGTCCGAGCGTGTACGTATTGATGCCATCCTGCTGCAAGAGCGGATCTTCATCTTCGACAAAGATCCGTGCATCAACATGGGGGAAGTCGGTGATTAGTTTGCGCAGGGTAGGGTAGGCCGGGTCGTCGCGCGTTGATACACAGAGACGAATGCTGAGCTTGTCGCTCGGGTAGTCCTGTCGAAAGGTGGCAGCCAGGCAGTCATACAAGTGGGGCTCAAGGCCCTTGACAGGCCGGATGGCGGTGACGTGCGGTACGTCGGTGGCGGAGGTGTTCGTTAGCCGTGACCGATGTGGTTTGCTGAGGAAATATTTCCATCTGAGCAGAAAGGGATTGTGTTAGTTATGTGTTTTTTTTCTTTTGAAAAAGAGGGCCGAATCATACATTTGAAAATACCCTAGACCGCAAACTGCCAATATGAATGTATACCATATCAGGGCAATCCAACCGATCGCGACAGGCGCGTACAGCGCACCATCATCAGATCTGCGGAGGAGGAACGAAAAGGTAGGTTTTAGCATGGGACGCAATGGAAAAGCAACATCAACATAGACGCAGACGTAGTCGAGAAGGACATTCTGGAGAAGAAGTAATTGAATGCGGGAAGATTTGATTTCGGCAGTTGCGCTGTCTCCGCCCTCACAATTGTACGATATACGCGTATTGGACCCGTGGACCAACCAGAGAGCATCTCTATCCCACAATAATGAATAATGGAGATATACTTAGGTGTCAAAATAGCTGCCTGCTCGGAAGCTCCGGATGTAAACATACATATATATAAGTACTTCCAAGGTTATGCGGTTCAATTACGGTAATTATGCTTGCGTATTCGTTTATGCCCGAAAAAATATATCCATGTTTCCCCCAAACTCCTAGACCTATCCCATGATAACAAAAAGCAAATGAAAACCCCCATCATGTTTTCTTCTTCTTCCGGACCAAGTTCGCATTGAGCACATTGACACCAGCCGGCACTGATGGAGCTGGTTGTGTGGCTCCCGATTCACTCGGTGCTTGTGTTTCATTTACAACAGGAGTGTTGCCCTCGCCCAATGACTTCTTTCGCTTGCGAATCAATCCAAGATCTAGGACATTTTTGGTATTGGCATTGGCCGGCTGGGAGGCAGTATCGCTTGTGGTATTGCTGCCGACGACCTTCTTGCCCCATGTAAGCTCGTCCGCAAGGGAAGATACTTGGTCAACGTAAAGTTTTGTACTGGCGACGACTTCTTTCTCGTCATAGAAATGGTCTAGAACCGAATCCATCATCGTTTTGTAGTCTGCTTCGCTGAGAACAACCTGGCCACGTCCGGCCTCTGGCCAGTCGAAGGGGTTGACAGAGCTAGATGCATCATCCCGAGCGAGTTTGGGAGAGGTATCGGCGATCGTGAAATTTGTTGCTGCCTCCAAGGTGGCGGAGCCATTCTCCACTTTCTCCTCGTTCGGAATGGCCCCGGAAATATCTGCTCCATGGGAGACTAGGCTGTTGTTAGAGGAACCGCGTGTTTGGCTTTCCATTGACGTAGAGTTCATCAAACCAGGAGGATTGATGACCAACCACAGAAAGCCGACTAATCGACCAGCAGAGCATTCTTGGCGGAAGGACATCATCTCCCAGAATTGGTCCAAGGACCGTACACTGCGCCAGCGGCCTGGATTAAGGGCGACAGATTGACCTTCATTCTCCTCTGGAAGTTCACCGTCCAGGTCGATGAGGAAACGAGTCTTGGGGTCATCGGGGAAACGAGGCACTAAGCAGCGGGGAGGAGCTGATGGGTCGTGGCACAGTTGCTTCAGTGGGTAGCTGTTGAGCCACCGTGGGCGATCCTGCGGATCGGTTTTGGCTGTAGGAGGGAAGAAATTGCGTGTTTCAAAGCGGTCACAGCTTGGAACGATCAAGTATGCGGTGGCAGAGGCCTTGGCAGCTTCGACTGTTTGATCCAGTGCCTTCGTTTCTCGAAGATCAGACTCTGGCTCATGCTCGCGTAAAATCGGATCTAGAACACGACACCACCACTTGATTAGGCCTCGATCGTCCAGGACGTGTTTTTCAGCGTTCTCAATGCTGCCCGGGAACAGGTACTGATTCTGAGCGCGGGCGAACAGCGACACGACCAGACGTACACCGGGCCGTTGCCGGGTTCGAGCTAGAAATGAGAGAAATGTATTGGAGACCAGTCTCAGGACAGAGACCTTAGTTGGCAGTTTTAGAAGATGCAGGAAACCAGTTGAGTCGGCTTTGGAGATGAAGATGGTGGTCAAGTGGGCCGTGTTGTAGACCATCACCTCCATTCCGAAGATAATTATCTCACTGTCATCATTGGAGTTAATTGACACTGAGAGGAAATGATTTTCGCAGAATGTTGGCTCGGAGACCTGGCCTGGCGCAGCTGCAAAGAGAGCTTCGCAGGGAGTGGGTGTTGATGAGACATGGCGAACGGTTATCTCAACCCCGGTGGGGAGGACCTTGGCCAAGAGATCTCCCAGATCTGCCTCCATTCTTGTTCGTCCAATGAGAGTCGTGGAAAAGGTGAAGAGAGGAGCTGGAGACTGCGGTGGTCGATTTCGCGCCCTTGGAGATCACGTGCCAGGAACATATATGGTCTGCCGCTTTAGGAAGGTCGATGTGTAGATATTTGCTATCTGATCGAGGGCGTTTGATTATGAAGATGAAAATGAGATAGCGAAGGTCTCAGCAATAAAGATTGAGCTCAGGTACTTATGTAAAATACCTGAATGAAAGAAGATGGGGAAGGCTTATTTCAGATCATACGCTTTGTGCCTACTTGTTTGCTTCAACACCAAGATGAGCTAAGATGTGATGTTTGCCCTGGTGACAGTGTTTTATGTTTATCCTCTTACCAGATCTTTCATTCTTTTACTTTGTCCACTCCTTTCTCAAACTTAGTCCATCTCTCAACCGAAACACCTGTGGACACAAGCAGAAACATACCACTGAAGGTAAGGGAGACTGACCGGATGAATGTATTATGAATTAATAGTTCATCAAATATGCTAACCATGGCTTCAAGTGTAGCAGAGCCGCATCTTAGTCATGTCAACACGACGTACCAGGCCGTATCCCATGGCCAGAAGCCCCGACGTATGGAGCAAGTCTACATTTGTGTTACCTTGCTGTGCTTAGAAAGCTACTGACCATGCACCCTAGTCAACGACGTCATGACGCTGACTGTCTGCGCCCAGTTTCAGATTCGCTACGCCTGTGGTCACTCGGCAGGTGGCGAGTTCGTCAAATGTCAACGGCACATGAGAAAAGAGGATGAACGCTGCATTAGCCGTCATATCCGGCACATCGATGTCAAGCAATCAACCCACAAATGTCGCCTATGCCTGCGCAGTGAATGAGACATGATATGGAATCCATTCGACCGGAGTTGACAAAGGCCTTTATCTTCCAACTCCTGGATAAGGTGAAGATGGAGGATCATGGCACACATGGATATCACATTGACAGAGGAGCCGATACTGTCTATCTTTGAATCAGGGCAATACCGGGAATAATTCAATCAGGATAATTGACCTAAACTTCAGTAAAACTCTGTATATATGCAATCTACTGGCTAGGTGACTGCATGACCTTCATCCCATTCTTGGGGCCTAGTGTTGCTTAGAAGTAAGAAGACACAGCATCTAGATCATCGGCATTGAGCAGAATGACCCCTTCCCTCAAAAGAGTCCTCCAGACAAGGTTTCGTGCACGAATCGGGAAGTACGGCGTGTTCCAATATCTAGCACCAATTCCGCGCTCATTTGCCGTGGCGATTTGGCCTCGGATAGCTTTGAGTTGGTCGTCTGAGAGAATTGGGTCCGTATCGACAGTTATCTTGCCGACGGCTTCCTGGAAATCTGTTGAAGCAACAGGCGAGATAACACCAGTTACATTAGCGTACTTGGGATCATCGAGATCCGCGAGAGGTGCATCGAAAAAGTAATCTCGGTCTTTGATGGGCGCAACCATGTCGAACGGTGTCTCTCCCGTGCCGATGACAGTGACGGGTCCATTGGTAACGTTCTTGCCATCCTTGACGGTGGTAAGGTAGCCCTTCTCCCGCAGAGGTTCTAAAGCAGCAATCACAGCCTTGAAAGTCTCTGGGCCGGATGTCTTCACATCAATGAAAAAGTAAAGTGTTTGGTCGGGAACAGTATCCCACACGCCGCTGTTTCAAAAAAGCATTAGCAGTGAGACCATATCGGGCCCTGGCCGGATACTCACTTTTTAGTAGGCGATGATACGAATGGACTCTTGGGATTCTGACGTTCTAAGACATCTAGAATTGGATTGATATACAAGGACTCAAGAGTTCGGGACTCTGTCAGGGCAGATTCATCATGACCAACCTTGTTTGGTTAGCATGCCACCTAGAAGAACGGCCAGGATACCGTATATTGACCAGACTCACATAGAGGGTGCCGTTGAATAGCCAGACATCAGCTTCGGTAGATGTACAGCCATGTGAGAGGCCTGTGCATAGCAATGTTAGGTGGTAACCGGATATTAGGCACTAGGGCTCCGGCATACCGGTATAGAAAGGCTCGTCTCGCCAATAGTCACTTTGGTATATTTAGTATATGATCAGGTCAGGAGTATGCAGCATGGGAATAATGCTTACTTATGAGAATGAACAGGAATCTAAATATTCGTGGCCCCCAGGGTTAACAACATTGTCCAGATGGTGGAGAGCCCCACGGAGAGTTTGTCGATGTATGATAGATAACACAGGTAGACTTACAGGTAAGAGATCTCTTGTTAGATCGGTAGGATACCTATAGTCTGCACTGCCATGAGTGTTTTTTAAGATGCTCTGTAGGCTTGAGGTGATGGCCCCAATGGCTGGATCCGGACCCGCGAGGAGAGCCACAACAACGCTAGTGAGGAATAACATGAAGGCAGAGGACATTGAATGACAAAATTACACGAACAATTGATCTCCCTTCACGTATCGAGCTGAAGTTGAAAGAAGATGGAATTGAATTAATTGAATTGACCGAATCGAAGAGGCAAATTGGCCAATGGCGATCGGAATTCGGACTCACGTGTTTCTCCAAGGGATCTCTCTGTCTCCCTGATCATAACATCGAGGTGGTATATTTTATGAGTTGAATATATCATAAAATCTAGTCTATCATTTAAAACCCAATATTATCTATCATATGGTAGATTCTCTGACTATTAGAAAAGGACTCAATAGGGTGCTCAAGATGCGAGATCAATTAAGAGCTGATCATGCAAATTGCTTAATGGAGAGACTACAAGAAACTAGAAATAGTAATGTATGGTATTTGGCATGAATGCCAGAAGGTGCTAAAAAAAAACATGAAAATCGCAAGACCAGCATCGTCCCCCAGGGAGCTCGATGGAGGAAAATAGCGAAATTGTTGAAAGAGGTCGGGCTCTGAAATGAAAGCTATGTACGTCACAGGAATATGACCTTAAACCTCCCGCACGCTTGGCGAAGATATAGATCCGGAGTCTTGTGAGTTCCGACCCCGAAGGCTGAGGTTTCCGATGCGTTGGACCAGATTGCTGCCCACAGCATCAACTGCACCCTTGGGCGCAAGCAAGGTCGGACCTTGAGCGGCGGCCTCTTGGACTCTGAAGAGTTTGATAGCTGTGCCATTCCAGACACCAACTGTTCCTGGAGTTGCACCAGAAGCGGAACCGACTACCATCTCGCTGGAGAAGATGAAGCCCCACAGGAGCGATTCATACCAGCCCATGGAAAGTGCAGACCACTCAAATGATTGCACGCGAACGGGGGTTGGTTCGGAGATTATACTCGCAACCTCCGGCTCTTCCGCAAATGATGGAAGATTGTGGATTAGTGTACGGGCCTCTGGGCTAACTGCACTTACAAGCGCTGCATCAGGAATGTGAGGCGCAATGGCTGAGATGATGGTGAGGATCGTGTGTAAAGGAAGCTCGGGCAACCAGGACTCGAGCTGGGAAGTATTGTTAGTAGTGGAACATTTGGTGGAAAGGTGGTTTGGTCTACATAGACTTACCCATGGGACAGTTGGTGTGAAGCCACTAGCAGAGGGGGTGAATAGAGCAGACATGCTTGTCTGACTGGTCATGCTGTTCTGTCGGGAGAAAGGAGGATGCCCAGCAGGTTTCTTTCCCCGTGCCTTTTCGGACATTGCTCGCACCTGCTGGACTCCGTTCTCGTCCGTGGTAGATGTCGTGGAGGGTCTCCGTGAGGTTTGAGCTGAGAATGATGATTGAGATGGAGTCTGTACCTCCTCTCCCTCACGTTCATCATCGGAGTCATCGTCGCCAATTGCGAATGGGCTGTTTTCTTCGGGGATTCTAGTCAACGGTGACCGGGCACCTGAAGGAGTGTGTAAATCTTCCTCTGACTGTGAAAGTGTAGGGCTGATGGCAACATCTGAAGAACTGCCAGCTTTCCTCTTCTCATTCTGTCGCTCGATCTCTTGCTGGCCACTCTCGAGAGTGAAAGCCCGCACTGCTTCAAAGCGTTGCTTGTATTTCAGTATCGAGTAGACAAGATATGGGTTTTCTAAAGAAAGTCAGAATCGGCTTGGCTGAAAGAGAAGACCTGGGTAGGGGATTTACCGGTGAACTTGTGCTCGACAATAATGTTGATGAAGTCAAGCAACGATGCAAGAAGAGTATGGTTGGTTTCATTCGCCAACAAGAAGCTGGGCGAAGACATGGAAGTAAAAAGTTGAATGACTTTTGAGCAGGCACTCGGAGAGATGTGTTCAATATAGGGAGCAAGGTTGTTGAGAATGATCAACAGCGCAGGATACACAGTATCCAGATTTCCCTTGCTAGTTGTCATCAACGTATGAATGGACTGTGGCGATTAGTATGATATTATGCTTTTAGATGGGACAAATGACAAACCATGATCAAATAGTCGGCATAAGACCCCCGGAACTTGAGTAGTCGGATCGATTGTGGTAAGGTCTCTTGGGCTTCGAAACTGTTGTTTAGGCTCTTCCCAAACGTTGGTTCCGCGCTCATTGTTTGAAGGATGAAAATGCACATCCGGACCACTCCTTGTTTGGAAGTATCCATTCTATACTCCATGGCATAGAATATACATAGAACAAGGAAGTCATGGGAGCGATTCGAGTCGATGATAAATGACCGGAACCTTTTGTTGCATTGCAAAGTTTCCCAGAAAAGGACCAACATCTCAGGGGCCCATTTCACTGATCTTTGACTCCCAGGAAGATAAGAAGCAGTAGCTTGCATCTGGTTTGATCGATCAGCACAATGTTTCAACATATAATGTAGCAGAGAATAGATACCGGCTGATTCAGAATTCTCGTCATGCCATCCACAAGGAATTGGAAGTCTTGAGGTCTATGTAGTCTACCGAAGTAATGGCGATAATAATTCTTCGGTGGAGTTCCACGACCGTCCTCTGGAATGGGATACATCAAGAGAACAAGGAGAAGTTGGACACAATAGATCACCAATATCTGCCTCGGATCTTTCCAAACAACGTGGTCGTATGGGACTCTCCACGACGCAGGGTTATACTTCATTGCCTGTTTTGGATTAGCATGGCTCCTACCACCGATTGAGTGGAACATAGCATACCGTGTTGAGAAGAGAGCAAAGGAGGGTTAATACAGCCTGCTTATCTTGGCAAGTTGTGATGTAAGTAATTGCCTTGACACCTTGGACTGGCAATGTATCTATAACCAGTCAGTAAATGTTGTAATAATTTGGCTGCACCAGACTCTGCACTCACTAGATGGCAAATACATGGCCTTTCCAGTAAGAGTAAGCATAAGCCGGAGAATCTCGCACCGGTTGCTCTCCAATGTTTTGTTGGACCCCATAGCCGTGTTGCAGCCAACCCCACTCTGCCAAATCGAAAAAGAGACCTTGCTCTTTGCAGTTGGCAGTCGAGGAATTGTAAAGTCGGCAAAGAAGAGCAAGTCCATCAATGTGTCTATCAACTCTTCGGCAAGAGGCTTGACATCTTCGTAATCCTCTGCGCGCGGTGGTCTTGCCTCTTGGTTATCCTCCGGCTGTGCTTCGTCAAAGAGGACCTCCCCAGCAATCTGTGACTGTCTTGTCCTTCTCTTTCGGCGTGCCCAGAAGAAATTATCCTCCCATTCCTCCAGATGCTCCGCCTCGTAAACATAGGGGAGGAGACGAGTGAGGATCCGAATGCAGTTGAGGACATCACGCTCGGGGGCAAGATCGGGGTCGGGAAACGAGGGATGGTTTCTCAACACAGTTAGTCGCGAGGTGACTGCGAGTAGGAGCGTTTGGAAGTTGGGCAAGGCGTGATCGCGAGTGCGCCGTATGTCAGCGGGCGTGAAAAGGCTAAAGACATCTTCGGTTGATTCAGGAAGTTCCC